GTCAGTGGGGATAAAAAAAGAAGGAAATATGCTTACCTCTCGACCCTCTTTGCGATTAGAAGATTATGAAATTTATAAAATATTTTCCCAAAGATTTTTCATGCCACGAAAAAGCAAAAAATCGTTGCTTTCCTGCCAAGTGCTAACTGCCGCCGGGGAAAGGTCCACGATGTACTTAACTGATTTCCGAGAAGTTTCACACAAACACAGCTGCACAGAGGGTGTCGCCGTGTGTATGTGTGTGTGTGGGTGTGACTGTGTGGAGCAATCAGTTTAAAGCTGTCAGGGCAGCGGCAAGGATTTTCAATGAGGCTATAAACCGGAAACTGCTACGAGTAATGCGACGCAGGATCCTCCCGGCAGAAACATCGTCATGGCCATCGCCAATGCTCGTAGGTGGATACTTTAATCAGAGCGAATGCGCTCGAAAAACACACTCTTAGATACATCGAAAAAAAGATAGTTTGGAACATCTATAAAAAAGAGTCGTGACAAGTCATAAAACGAATAGGATAAGAAGTCTATATTGTCAGCATTGACCAGGAATTAAACTGTATTCCATAGAAATTAAAGAACTTTATAGCGTTTCATTGCTGCTTTATAAAAGTCATCGAAAAGGTTACAGTTTTGTACATTTTGTAGACCAACTTATTAGGCTTAAAGCCTAAAGAGCCAAACTTGTTTTAATGTAGAACATCTATTTTTATTACTTAAACTTCTCTACAAATCAAATTTAGACGGTGTATGAGATATTTTTATTTTTCTAATGGCGTCTACATAAAATAACAATAGTTCAATTGCCCAAAAATAATGATCTTATACTTAGAAATTGAAAAAAAAAACATTTTAAAGTAAATTTTAAGTTTGGTTTTTTTTTTGTGGTAGAAAGGTGACATTTTTCTAGTTTTTTTGAAGTGTAGAGCTTTGTAGCTTGTTTTGGTAGCTCTTTTCGGGGCTTAAAAGGCGGAGCTGGAGCAAAAGGCTGCTAGTTACAATCCCCGAACTCCCCACTAACTTTCGCCACGCTCTGTACTCCATCTATCCTCCCTTTTGCATTGAACATAAGCCGGCGCCTTGGGTATTTTAGGCTTATCGTCGACGTAGTGTCATCCTCATCCTCATCTTCGCCGCCATCATGGCAATAGTGGGGCACTCATCCAGTCAAGAGCGGGGAAACGGCTTGCATTTGTGGTCTGGATGAGCCGATTTTCTGTTTTCTATTGCGGACGGCAAAACGTTGACTCCTCAAGTTGTTATTTCAACTGTTTTTGCTGAAGCCACTGTTCGACGAGGGTGTTGTTATTGCCATTTGTTGTAACGCTGCTTGAGATGTCAAATAGCTGAGCGGACTTGCAACAAGAACAACAACCGCAGCAGGAAGCACTTGAAAATTGAAATCAAGCATTGGGGCGCCAGTTTCTCAGTCGCCGTCAACTGAGAAGCCAACGCAGCAAAACACAAAAAAAACCAACTGGAAAAAAAAACAATAACAACAAAAGTGGCAGCAACATCAGCGGAGAACAAAGGTCCTCGCCTTGTTATTTGCATATGAATATGGAGCACTTGGAGGTAGCTTTTAGGTTGTTGCTTCCAGCCAGCAACAAGAATAACATCAGCTGCAACAACCACAAACGATTTGCTGTTTGGCATATGAATAAACCAGCAACAACACCAAAGATCCACAAGAAAACTTATTGCTGATGCTGTTGTTATACCCTCACCTTAAAATGGGTAACTATCTACCAAGAAAAGAATTGATTTTCAGTAATAAATACAATAATAATAAAAAAGGATTTTAAGGTATGTTTTTTGTAACAAAAACGACACTGTTTTTTTGATCTTTAGGTTCATTTTTACTATCTTAAAACCCCAAAAAAGAAATGATATGGAAAGACTGTGCTTAACTCTTATAAATTGGGTTATAAGACATTGAGTTATTATCTATTATGTTATCTCTTAGCATAGGACTTTGTTATTAAAATTTATCTACAATTATTTACCATAGTTGCAACTCTCCGAGTTTTTTAGGGTAAAATACCTCCCATCTCGCCTTTGTTGTTGATGTTTGGGATGTTGTGGGTTGCCCTCTTAGCTTATGGTGAGCCTGCAGTGAATTGCCAGCGGCAACAATAACGCTCAACGCTTGCCGCCATTTGTTGCTGTTGCTATTGTTTTTGTTGTTACTGGCATTGCCGGCGGTGGGCGGTAGATGGCGCCAAACGCCAGCGAAAATTGAATAAGAGGCTCGACTTGAAGGCAATTGCCGTAGTAGGCAGGCAAGCGGAAAGCAGGAAGCTATACCAATAACAAACACACACACTCAAACTAAAGAAAGAGACTCCCACACACATGCTGAGTTAATGGGGAGCACTTTTCGCGAAAAATTTTCAGGAGAGCACTGAAAGTCTTTTCATAAATTTCTGTTGTGAAGTAAACCTTTTTAAATACATTTTTTATATTAGGCATAATTATCTAAAATAATGTGATATTAATGAGCTAGAGATATTTTGAATTTCTACTTCTCTCTCTTGATTTTATTATATTTTCATCCCTTTCAACAAAATGTCATGTTATTATCTTAGATTAAGCTTTAGGATTAAGAGATATGTCTGACCATTTCATCTAAATTAAATAGAGAGAAATTTTCCGTATTATTGTCTTTACTTAATAAAATTGGGGTTTGTTTTTTTTTTGGTAGTTTGGAAAATTGAAAACTCTAAGAAAACCCACGCATAAACGTGGTCGCACACACCCAGTCCCTGGCACGTAACAAGGAAAGTTATGTAGTGTTCTGCGCCATGTTCCTTCGGATACCTTCCTCCGTAGATTTTCCTTTTTTTATTTTCCCCCGTTTTTGCTTGTTTTGGGTTACTTTGAATTTAATGGAAAATTTATTGACGACATGCCGCTTAGTCGTTTGACTTGGACTTTTGCCTTTGCCTCCGAGGCACTCACCCACCCACAATTTCGCCATTTCCTGGTCCCGCCGCCTCCGATCCCATCCTGCTGCTCTGTCATGTGTGCAAAGTTTTCGCATTCGGTTTGCTTTGGTTGGGTTTCATGAACCTGCCCATGCCCTGCACTCTGACTGATTCTTCCAAGCAATTGCGGATAAATAGTTGATGATTGTGTGTGGTCGGTGGATGGGGAGATCGGGGAGTTGGCAAGAAGACTGGGAAAAAATCAGACGGTACTGATGAATGAGGGATGACCGCTCGATGTGTCTCGAATTGATTGATTGTCCCTTGCAATCCAATATGTTGCAGGACAGCATTTGACTCGTTTCATGCGGGTGGCTCGGGAATTACAGTAATCGCTCGCCATTCACAAGGATATTGCCAAGCCTGCGGCGTCTTTTTCCAACTGTTTGACAATTTTTATAAATATAATTGTGAACAAAAAAATATTTGTATTTATTGAAATAAAATCTCGAAAAGAAAACAGATTGTTTTTGTATAATTAAAAGAATCTATAATATAAATATTTACTATATTTATTTAATATTTATTCTTTTGCTGAATTTTTCATAAAACTCATAAAACACTTCACACTTTACAATTAACTTTACTTTACTTGCTAAATCAATATTCAAATTACAAGCTTTCGTATACAAGCCAAAATTCTTAAATGTACAACACTTTAAAATACTGTTTAAAGTTTTTAATTTAATATATGCTATTATTGAATTGGCGCTTTTTGTTTAATTTTGGTATTTCCTTTAACCGATATCAAATATTTATTTATTTATTTCCATAAATCAACAAGGTTTTTCATAAATGTAAATTGTTTATGCTTGCCCGGGATAGCTTTAAACTTTTATGATGACCAGAACACATGGGCTTGACTGATCAACATCAAACGAAAAAGAAGACTTTTTTATTTGAATTTGGGGGCTTTCAAATGGTTACATTAAAAACGTGGGAATGCTGCAGATGACTGACGGAATCGAAATGGTATAATATCTGCCTAGAAAAATACAGGTGACTGCAGAATTTTTCATCTGATTGGCCAGCTTGAATACAAGAGCCCAACATATCTTATTGTCATTGGCCAACGTCATGCCTTTGACTTGTTCATTTACAATAAATTAGAATTATAACCTCGCTTAGCCAAATCAACGACGCAATAACCTCGCAATAGCCAGCGTACATGCAAAGGGACTATTTCGGAATCCTGGGAGGTTTAGGCGGGGTACACCCCTCAAAAAGCAACCCCCAAAAGGAGAAGAGCAGTTGCCAAAAATAAAACATTCAGAAAACCCGAAGCATGGGGTAGTTATCCTGGCAGCTCTCCTGCCTTACGCCACAATCCTCAACGGAATCGTGCCGCGGAAGACCGAAAAACTTTTCTCGCGTGTTTTACCAACTTTAATATTTTATGTTGCTGATTTTCTTTATGGGATTTGGCCGTAGAAATCCCGGGGACAAACACCCAAACGAGCCCACACCTAACCAATCTCAACCCCTTGAAACTCAACAAGTTTTTTTTTCTTTATGCTATCCGCTGAGAGTTTTGAAAGACCTTTGGAGTGGAATGCGGACACGCCTGCCATGTTACGCCATTAGTTTATGATTATTGTCTGAAGTTTTGTGGGTCCCCAGTGGAGTTCCAACCGGCAGTTTGAATCAGTGTTGTCAACTATTTTAAAACAAAAGTTAGCCAAATCGGCCAATGAAACAATAAAAGTGTAGCCAAAAACAATTTAAGCCAACTAGAAAAATGAAACCATCCTCTTATTTTTTAAGCTCTAAAAGCGAGAAACATTTGTTGCAATGGAAAGTAAGAAAATTCTGCCTAAACTGCCTACAAATTCCTCGGTCAATAAATACCTTTAGAAACCATTATTGAGTTTCATAATATTAATGTTTGTAGTATTCTAACATTTCAACTTGCAAGTATCTAAGTTTAGAAATACTTCAATTGGCCAGAATTTAAAAGCCAAATTGGCAGAACAACGGGGAATGCGGTGTGAGAATTGTGACAGAGTTTACGACACTCACCTGTTGTCGACTCCTTGGTTAGTCTCAGTCGTCCATTGTGGTCGGTTAACAGCAGCAGCAGGATCGCAATCAGTTGAATCACGAGAAAACGTCGATTGTAAAACAAAAACATTGCAATCCGACGTTTTTTTTCACCGCTTTCCGGCTGGGGCGCCTTTTTGGTGGCCCGTTCTCGATTTTAATTAAATATATATTTCTATCTGACACGATTATTGGTACTTTGACGAACTCTGCGCAGTGTCAGTCAATTCGATTACCAAAAGCATTTTTTCATTTCTGCTCTCACTTCGATGTTTGGTTTCGGAACTGGACGGAAATCGGGGGAGAAATCAAATCACCGAATTTTATTTACTAATCTAATGCACACACCCATGCTCACATACACACGCAAAAGTATGCTAATATATTTGAGCATACGCATAAATATTTTACGCGAGCAACAGTGCGTATACGCAATTTGTTTAATAGTCCGCACAAACATGCCGCTAACACGATGGCCCGGCGCCAATGTCATTTGTTGTCAGCTCACAAATCGGAAAATTGATGAGGTGGGAGTACAGTGAGACCTGTCATTTGCTGAATCAGAACCCAGGAAAACAAAAAAAGATGAAAATTTAAACTTCATAGAGCTTTACCAATAATTATTTCATTTCAATTTTTTGCAATTATGCAATATTGCTATCAATTCAAATAAAGCTTTACAACGAAAAGTTTAATTTTTAATATTTACTTGATTACACTTTTTATGCCATAAAGTTTTGTGACAGTTTTTTTCGAAAGCCAATTAAAGTTGTTTGCTCCTTTGGTTTCTGTTGTTTTGCAAACTGCAATCATTTGAGTTCATATGTTTTTTTTTAATCTTTATTTTATTAGCTAGCCTCATAGAAAATAAAAATATCAAGTTAAATTTTAGTGAACTTATAATTTATTAGAGGTTTATAACTAATTGAGTTTCCTATTCTTTGACTAGTTAATGAAATACTGTTTTTTATTTAATGTGAGTTGAAAACAATATTTTCAGTAAAAAATATTCAGAAAAGAGATCAGAAAGGATCTTTTGCCCTGATATAGTCCGATCCTTTTCTCCCTCCATTTAACATCATCATTCATCCTTTTATCCGCCTTAAATTTGAACTTTGCTGTGTGTGTTCGGATTTAAGCTGCGATAAATTCGCAGATTCTTCGGCTCAGATTCTTCGGCTGCCATTACGCACGCATCATCATAATAATAATAATAGTCATAATAATAATAATAATAATGATGATGACGGTGATAAAGCCACATAAAAGGCGGCGGGGCCCATTTCAATTTCAATTCCACAAAAGGCGCGTGTATCTCCAAGATACATTTCTATCTCCAGAGCGCGTATTCGCGCGGCAAAGCAAAGCTCGCAAAAAAAAATCGCATAAATGAATGCTAAAATATATTTCGGCTTGGTTGCCGTTACTATTAAATTGTTGTTGCCTTTGCTATTTCAACTATGAAAGGCTTTGCAAAAAGTAAAGCAAAACGCAGACAAACTTTTATATGTGACAATTGAAAAAAGAATTCAATAAATCAAAAGGGAAAAGCAAAAAGTGCTTGTAATTTAAGCTTTGCTTTTTGTTTTGAATACACCGAAAAATACGTGTTGGGTGAATAATGCTAAGTCAAGATGAATTTTAAATGTGTGAAAAATAAGATGAAATATTCGCAAAAAAAAGTATACAATTTTATTGGAACTGTTCATATCTTGCCCAAAATTACATTTAACAACAGAATAATTTTTAAAATATCAAATACATTATTTTATATTTGCAATGTTGTTCATTTGTTTAAAGCACAGCGGTTTGGACTTTGCTTTGTTTACAACTTTTTTATATATATGTATATATAAATTTCAGTTTTGGTAAGATAAAACCGAAAATTGGGAGATAAGCAAAGAAGCCGGCTGAATAAAGGAAATCATATTGGGGTAGTTGTTGTTATATAAAACAATTTGTATGTGAATTTTTGCACAAAAAAACACATAGACAAGAGCTCAACACACACAGGCACAGAATCAGGCGCTCAGGAAAACAGAGAACGAAAGAGAAGATGAGGAGGACAAAGCGGAGGAGAAGGATGAGGAGAACAAACGAATTTCAGCAACGACGCAAATTTCGATTTCCTCGAAATTTCTACCTTCTATTATGTTCGTTCCTCTCTCATCTTCTTCTTCTTCTTCTTGTTTGGGCATCATATACATTTTGTTTGCAAAAAATTTAAAAAAAAATAACAAAGAGGAAAAAAAACACAGCAAAGAAGAAGCAACAGCAGCGCAGCTTACTAAGCTTTTTCTCTGCCGCCGTTTCGCTCCTTGTTTTTGCTACGCTTTCGCTTTGCTTTGCATTGCTTTGCTTTGCTTTTTTGTGTTTTTGCTTTTTAGTGTATTTGCTTTTTGAGTTCTTTGCTTTTTTGTGGGCAATAAGAAGCAGCAACTACTGTACTTGTTGTTTTTCTTCGGTACTTTTCCTTTACCGCATATATCCTTTTTTGCCGCTTTGTTTGTTTGGCATTTCTCAATTTTCAATACACACGCACTTTCTTCTGTGTCTTGTTATATTTTTTCCTTTGTTGTATTATGTCATAATTTTATTTGTCGTCCAGGACTAAACAATGCCGGAATTTTTCACAATTGATAAAGCCAATGAATCACATTTCGTTTTCATTAGCCTCACACTTCTTGCTGTCTCGCTTTTCTGCACCGGCTCCTGTTGCCTCCTCCCCCTCATTTTTGTTTGCTACCTTTGTTGTCTTTTTTGCATTTCCGCTTTACGTTTGTGTTTCGCTCGCACTCACGCACTCACACTCGCACTCACATACACTTCACAGTACTGGAGCTGCAATTATTGTTGTTGCTCCGGCTTGTTTAATATTTGTTTGTCACACACACAGAGTCGAGAATATCATACAATAAAGCGAATTTACAAGCGCCGGCAAAAATTACTCGAGAAACGCGCCCGCAAGTGCACAGAGCGACGCAGCAAACACGTCCAAACAATTAGTTCGCCATCGGAGAACTGGAGAACTGCGAACAGGAGAACTGGAGAACTGAGCTTTGCTTTATGAATGGACGCGGCCTCGAAAGCAGCTTATTTCGACGAGCAAAACCGACTCTCTTCGCGAGCGCGAAAACACTCCCCCAATTTCTCTTAGCCAGACCCTTCGGCGCTGTTACCCGGTTCGAGTATTTGTATCTTGTAGATACGAGTACGATCTCTTGGTTAGGTCTATATATCTAGGAAAACGAAAAGAAATTAAAACTTATACATAAAAAAAAACTGACAGTAAGAGCTAGTCGGCAGTGAAAGTTTTATTCTTTTTTGGACTGCGTCGTATATGTCCGGGCTTTACATTTGTAGAATAAAAACAATAGAACATGTTTTAAAGTCTATTCAACGATTTCCCTTTAATTTTTTTTATATTGTTATTATTATTAAGTTGTTGACCAAAAAATGCAGTAAAACAATGCTTTCCGACATTTGCCTTTCCGCCAAACTAGTGTCCCAATCCTGTGGTGTATCCTTAGGCCACGCGGTTGGTGTTGAATATGCGAAAATGCCTTTGACTCATAACAGCGCTGACAGCCAGATAAAGGCCCAATGCAGAAATAAGGATCGCACCAAAATTGATCCATGTGGGTCCTTGCCATCCAATGTTTAACAGTTGGGCCAAGAACTCTTCGATTGCGCTATCCCAGTACATCAACAAGGCTTGTATCAAGAAGAGAAGTAAGGCCATTAGGATTTGTTTCTTGTTTGCGACAAGAAAAATCGCAATTGCTTGCATCTGGTGAAACATTAACGGATCGGTTGAAATTTAAAGATGCAACTTTTAACTAAAATTCAAAGAAAAATGTACAGAAATGCCACGTTTAAGTTTTAATTATAATTTCAAATTCACCTTTTCAACTCAAGGTATTGGAATATCGCTGAATTTAAGTTTCTTTTATTTAAAGATATACAGATGCAAATAGGAACGACTGAAATGTTAACAAAATCGGTTAACATTGTGCGTGCTTTTCAAGAGAGCGGTTAAAAAGTGAGTCTCTCGCTCTCGTATTGTGAAGCTTTTACCGGCAACTCTTGTTTTTGTTGTCAAACATTTCAATGGCAACGTCGACGTCGGCGTCGGCAGAGAAAGCTATGCAGGGGGCGCAAAGCAAAAACAGTGTTGTCCAAACTAATTGATTTTGAACTTCATATTGCGAGGGTCTTTGATATAAAATGAAAATTTTTTTTTTAATGTTGGTAAGCTGTAAATAAAAATTTAGTTTAAGCTGATAAAGCTTCATCTAACCATTAGGAGATTTTCAACTTGGTACTGAAAATTATTCTTACCAAGCTTCACAGCGACGAAAAGGGAAATTATTTGTAAGTTTTAAAACGCGCTGGGGTCTTTCGATTTTATGTATATTCAACCGGCACTGCCACTTTTTGTTGTTCAGCGAAGTTAACCTCCCAACAGCAATGCTCGTTTCGTCAATTAGCATGGTCACTAACCAATCCAGTGTTGTCACCATTTTCGTTAGCAAATACACCCTCCTAAGAAATACGTTGGAGAATGCCTAAAAAATTCTGTCTTTTGTGACTAAGAATAATTTTATTTTCCCTTTTTTTAACTAGGCCTCGCGTGTGCAAAAATTGGATAATTTGCAGATTTTCAAACTTTATTAAGTTTGGGATGTGCGAAATCTAATATAAATGTAAATGTTAAAATCTAACATAGGCATCAGCTCAGCGGCAGAGGAGAGCAGAGTAGAGATGGAAAAACATCGATGAGGCCGATGTTTTGCAAAACATCGATAACGTCGATGTTGGCATCGAAGGTTGGTATCGATGTTCGCATCGAAGTTTCCCCACCTCTATCAAAAGTTGTTGTTGCGTGCGGGCGGACGAAGTCGAGAAAATTGGACGAAAGCACTAGAAAACACGGATGAAAACAACGGCGCATTCGGCTCGTGATTTCGACCGCTTTTGAGTGAGAAAACCCGCCTGTTTTTCTAACTGCATTTTAAAGCGGAGTGCGTGCGTGTGTGTGTCTGTGCGCGTATACGTGTTCGATTCGTTTGGACGCGCTTCGCCGTTTCTGTTGTTCTGTGTGGCTCCTGTACTACAGTAATTACTCGTGTGAAAAACGTGCGAAAAACGTAAAGGGGCAGAAGAAAAGGAAGAAAAACGCCAGCTCGCTCTGTCTCTCTCTCACTTTTTCTCTGATTTTTCGCCGCCTAAGACCAGCATTTTGTTGTTGCGCAGCTTGCAAATATGTGTGAGTGTTGGTCCTGTTTATGTGTGTGCGTGTGCAAATTCCAAAACATACGCCGCTGCACTGTGGCACCAATATGGCAAATATCGCTTAAAATAATTCCAATTTCGATTCCCGGCTTTAATTTTTTTCGATGTGTGCGTGTCTGTTTGGGTGTGTCGCATTTATATTAATTTTCCGCTTAAGGTTCTTACCATTCCTCCATTCTATACCTATTTGCTGTTAAAAGGAAGCAACAAATGCGTCGCGTTGCCAACTACGTGATGCAATGCAATTTATGGCATTCCAACTAAATGCCAATTACAATTGATTATTATTCATTATTTCGCTTATTACTCATACAAGCGCCTTTTTGTGCGTGTGCGTGTGCGTGTAGGCAATTCTCTTTTGCTCTCGCACTCTCTCTCACTCAAACAAAACTCCAAAAGCAGCAACAAAATGGCAAGGCCAGGGACAACAACAAAAAAAGTCTCCCCTTTTACGTTTTTTGCCCGTTAACGAATCGTAACGTAACGCCTAACGTAACGTTTAAGTGTCCTTATTAAATGTCAATAAAAGTTAATAATAATTGCAGCGATATTTCCGTGCGGCCAAAAAATGTGGGCGACACCTGTGCTATAAAAAAAGTTTGAATAAAAGTGTGCAACTAAATGTCCGCCGGTTGGCCAAGTTAAGAGACCATCCTACGACCAAAACGACCTAACTTTATAAATCCCCCCAATAAATCGAAAAAGCCGCCAAAACGACGTCCAAGAAGAAGCAGACGCAGCCGACGCGGCCGAAGACGAGCAGCATGTTCAAGTGCATTCCCATCTTCAAGGGCTGCAACCGGCAGGTGGAGTTCGTGGACAAGCGCCACTGCTCCCTTCCGCAGGTGCCCGAGGAGATTCTGCGCTACTCCCGGACCCTGGAGGAGCTGTTCCTCGATGCCAACCACATCCGGGACTTGCCCAAGGTGAGCATACTACACAGGCGTACCCCTGTTTAAGGAACCACAACTCTGAGATGTCGAAAATTTCACCAATAAATTTATTAAACTCATCTAGGTATAAAACGCTACTTAGAAATAACGTAGAAAGAAAATGGACTTCAAAAATAAGTTAGACTGTTTATAAACCTGACAGACTCTCAAGCTTTGGCAGCTGTTTGCTGCAAAACCGCAAATGTCATAGTTCAAAGTGCGTGGGAAATCTAATAAATTCCCTCGAGTCAGGTTTAATGAGAGTGGGACTACAGATAGTGGGTGGTAAATTAAAATTAAATATTAATAGATGCAGCGTTTGTCTAAAAATATATATATACTGGACGGCTGTGGCAGGAAACAGGTACAGCGAATTTTCTATATCAAAATATACAAGTTTTATATATGTATGCACACATAATCTAGATAAATTCCAAAGAATTTATTTATAAGAATATTTTGCAAACCACTAAAGGATCTAAATCAATATCCAAGTAAACATGGAAAAAGAGTACATTTTAATAGACAAAGTGGCACTCAGATAAGGATTGTTTGATCTGCTCAAACCCCTCGGTTATCTCTTTAACAACATTGAACAACGGCCTTGTCTGGCGGCGATGCCTTTACGTTGGCAAACTTGTCCCACCAAATAGCCCTAAGCTCAAGGGGTTGATGGCTGGGCACGTAATTTGCATCCACGGGTGCGTTGACCCCGCCCAGGGCCGTTCCTCCTCTTCCTCCGTCCTCCGTCCTCAATCCTCCACCTTCTGTTTTCCTCAGGAAAAGCCACAGTCAGGGCCATTCTCCTTTGGTCAGCTATCTGCTGGAGCATCGGCCATTTACCAAGACAACAATTACGACAAAAGAAGTTCCCCCAGCCGAGCGGAAGTCTTTAATTAATGCGGGGAGAAACGGGTGCAAAATCGCGATGTGGGCTGAGTGAAGTTGCCTCTTTGACAGTGCAGTCATAATGGAGAGTAGCTGCATAATTGAATCTGCAATTACGCAACTGGTGTGCCCGGCAGTTGATGATCAAAGCCCCGCCAAGTGCAGCATTCTAATTAGTGGCCAAGTGCCCCTGATAATAGCCACACACAAATTGGGTGTGGTCGCCGCCGCCGCCGCCGAGTTCGTTTTTCCAAAATAATTCCATTTGGGTTGTGCATAATTCTGTCGTGGTTATTTATTTGGATTTGGTAAATAAACAAGTAAACAAGAGACGGACATAAACAGTAGTAGTATCTCGTTGTCATAGCAACAAGTGGTGGGCGGAAGAAGCAGGAGATATCTCCAGTTGCAGTTGCAATTCATTTGCGGTCAGCCATCTGAGTTTTCCCATTCTTGAGTTTTCCTATTGCGCTTTTTCTCCCGTTTCGATCGAGCTTCCTTCCCGCTTAGCCGCACTCAATAATGAACTTCTAATGCAAATTTAGAGCAGCATGTTGTAACCGCAACAGCAGAAGCAGCAGCAGCAGCAGCAACTATATGTTGCTGTCGGGCAGCAACATCAGCATGAACTACAATGGACTGCAAGTAGTCTCCCATATAATGATGATGTTCTGCTGGCGAGTTCGTTTGAATGCTGAACCGAATGACAGCGGCGGATGTGATTGTTGCTTCAGTTTAGCTTCTGCTGATGGAACCCTTTCTGGATTGTTGAAAGCGGTACACAATTTCCGCGTTGTCATAGCATCGACAAGTAGGGAGAATACACGGAAATTCTAATCGAATTATATTTAAGTGGCTGTTTAAATTTATATATAAGCAAGGCACTATAAATTTAATTAGGTTACATTAACT